GAACCTAGGCGAAAAGCGACTTCATCAGAAAACGCAATCTGATGTAGCGCAAGAGGTTCTTCGGTAATGTTGTCGGCAGCGTTAAATTACGCACAGCGCACTCGAAAAACAGTAGAACTAGCGGACCGCAGTTGGTGATGTCTTTTTGTTTCATGCGGTGCTCACGTCTTGATATCATTGCCTCCGCCGTGTCGGAAAACAGATCCTTGACAATATTTTCACACTCGACATATTGATCCTCCTTTTGCATCGGGTCGAAGAAGGTAAGCGTCTGTGATTTAATGTCAAAAACTACTCCACACCAATGATTGTTGTTGAGATGGATAGGGAGTAGTACATACTCGTTGCTTGCGTGAAATGGCTGAGTTGCGGCAATTATCGTGTACTGTGACTCCACGCTAACCGTTCCACAGAATGCGGGTGAAATTATTCCTGTTGTGCCATGCTCTTCTTGAATTGTTGTCATTGCATGCAGCAGACAGTCATCATTTATCCATTCGTCATCACGAAAAAACAAAAGAGATCGTTTGAGAACCTTACCAAATGGCGTCTGCCTCGTCAGCGGTAGTATCATCTTCTGTATGGCAATCGCAGCGGCCTCTTTGTCAAGGTCAACGTACTCACGAAGTCCGGCGGGTATTGCGAGACGATTCAGCGATGTGGCTCTTATCCATTCCGCTGTGGCACCAACAGACGCAAAGATTTGCATTGTCGTGTAGTAGTCATGCATGATCCCGAACTGCTCTTCACTGAAAACCCCGACTTTTGCCACACGAATACTAATATGTTGATCCGAGTTTGGTAGTGACTTCTTGTACTCATCCAGCAGCCGCCGGCACTTTGCAACGAATTGATCCGTAAAAATGAACTTAATATCGCTGGAGCACTCATGTGGGGCAACAACCTTGGCCATCGCTTGTTTCCTTGGACCTAAAACTTTCACGGTTACGCTTGACAGAAACTCGTTTGCTGATTCGTAGCTGAAGCTTGAGAAAAGGACTCGTGCTACATTCTTGAGCGTTGCGACAGGTGTTAGTGTTCCTTGAACAAGTTGCTTGGCTTCTTTACGAGACTCCACCATCCGTTGTCGTTTCTCCTTCTGCTTCTGAGCTTTCCGAATTTTTGGACGACCTCTGCTCTTCGTACTTTTTGAGACGAAGAATGACGTTTCCTCACTAGAGCTTGAGCCACTACTGTTTGCTCTCTTCTGCGGTAATGTTGGTGAATTGGTTTGTCCAGAAGGCACACTGTCCGAGTGACTTTGTCCTGAAGGCACACTGTCCGAGTGACTTTGTCCTGAAGGCACACTGTCCGAGTGACTTTGGCCTCTGGACTCGCCATCAAGTGTTTCCACCTGGCTTGGTGTGGCATTAATAGTCGGTGCTATCTCGCTGTCGTTCGAACTTAGCCCAACTTCATATGTATCCAGCCCAGAAAGTTGCGACAGTGGATACAGCTCAGAGAACTTGTTAAACCACTCAGAATAAGTCGATACAACCGGGGTTTCTCCGGTAATCGCAATCTGCTCGAATCGTTGCAACGCTTCTATCATTTTCTTGAAGATAGGTGTGCCGTTGCGGCTCATAATGTCAGCTATACGCGTGGCAGTCTCGTGTGATGTACGAAATTTACTCGTGCCATTGAGCTTTTTGTGTCGGGATGCCTTCAATGCGGAGCTGCTCACTCGAAAAGAACTGCTAACATTTTCTTCACTGACAGGCTCATCGTCAACAGGAACATTCGCTGGGCTAGTCAGACTCCACCTAGAGTGTATATGCTTCAGCGGAATGGGACTTTTGTTGGAAAGTAATCGCCAGTAGATGACATGGCGACAAGGTAACAGCTCAGTTCGCATAAATGCACACGAGCAGCGATAGGTCTAAGCACAGCATAACATTATGATAAGTTCACAGGAATTTAAAGATGATCACAATTAACCCAACGTACTCTAGTGTCGACGTGATACTTGCGGTCTGGATCTCCTCCTGCAGAAGGTTGAAACACTTGGTCTTGTAGCTCGATAATATTGTAGTGTGTTTTACGATCATTCGCAACCCGATACTGCTTCTCCACGAGCTGGTAGGCATGTTGACTCACTTCCTTCGCCAGCTTCTCCAATTCAGCATCAGCGCCACCATAACGCATATATCCAACATCCGTCATCTTCTTTGCGTACTCAAGTTCAGCCATCGACTGCAAAAACATTAGCGTATCTACACACTCGTCCAGCATCAATGTTGGCTTCAACACATCCTTTAAATGACCCCATGCTGCTTCAAGGCGATTGTTGGTTGTGTTTCCCAAATGCGGGACGTCAACACGCCCAAAGCCGCTCCACATTTCTGTGCACTGGTGCCAATTCGAGTCAAAGTATTGTAAGAATGCGTGCTCCGGCTCCGGTACTTCTTCATCTTTCAAAATTTGTTTCCCTTCCACGATGTAGTACAAATACTTTCGACCAATTTCATACTCGCCTTCCGTTTGCGCACTTAGCATCATATGAACAGCATCTTCGATCTTTTCACGATCAAGAAGTCCGTACACACGCTTCGCCATCTCGGTCCGTAAATACTTAACAACGTGGAATACACAAAGGAGAATTCGCGCAGCCGGAAAAGCAGATTGCAGTAACGAAATTTCTCCGAAGTCCTTATCGACGATGATTACACGGACGTCATCCCACGTCGCGTTAAATGACTTGAAAGATGTGATCGCATCGGAAAGACCCTCTGCACTCTCGTTCTCCATACGGGCATGCTGCACGTATTGGCTCTGTGTGCCACAAGTCACACAAAAACCACAGAGTCACAAAATGCCACATCGCCACACCAAAACCACAAAATGCCACAACGCGACCACGTAAATCACAAAGCGCCACAATGCCGCAGTAAATCGCCACAAAAGTCACACATTTGTCAACAAGCCACAATAGTCACAAGTAGTCACCGTGCAAACAAACACAACGAACAACATTAGACGGTCAGACCCGTGAAAGATAGATGAAGCGCTCTTACATGGCCAAAAACGTCGTGAATCATGAAACTGAAAAGCTTGTATCTGGCGTCGTTAGTGTTGTGAGTCGCGTCGATCATCAAAACCTCAGGAAAAGCTTCGAAAAAGCGCCGCATTTGATGAGTCTGGAAAGTAATTACTTGAGCCAACTTGTCATCATCCACGTAGATGGTAGCCGTGTTTCCTTTTCGCAAGCAGAAGTCTCTAAGGCTGGACTCTAACCTTGCTTCAACAGTAGTAGATCCTCGGCGTTGTTCCTTAAGCTTCTGCACCATGTTGTGCACGTCACGTAGGGCTACCTGCTTGCCTGCCAGATGAAACAGATTAGTTCAGCAATATTATAGCAATAGAAAACAGCAAATGATAGTACTAGTACCTGAGCGACGCCGCAAAAATGCAAGTATCAACTTCTTTTTTGCTCCAGCAGCTTGTAGCTCGTCGACAAAATCAAGCATCTCTTTATCATCTATACGTCGATTGGCAGGGTGGTTGTTATACTTGTCTGGTCCGAGGCCGTGGTTGTGCGTCGTGTTCTGCTGGGTTATCTTCACTTGAAAATCATGATCTCCTGACCACACCACTGTAACCGAGATCTGAGCCTCGCACCCCGTCGACTTGACAAAGTAGTTGGAGCGCTTGCCAGTAGACCGACTGGGCCGACTCCAGCCATGCGTGCAACAAAGTCGCCGGTAGTATTTGTCGAACGAATCAGGAATTCTTGTCGTCTCTGTCAGCTTGCCTCGCTTCGCTAATTCATCATTCCTAGATGCAGCACTTGTAGAGGTACGCTTACGGAACACTTGGTGGGTCTGCTCTTGGTACTGCTCCAACGCCGAAAAAAATGCACCCCACGTTGTGTAACAGCGCTGCTCTAACGGGGGAGCACACGTAGACGTATTCCGCGATTCCGGGACGTGTATCTCCGGAGAGCGTGCCTCGGCAGGCTCACTCTCGCCGTCCGATCCCGAGCCAGTCGACGCGACGCTCGCTATTTTGTCGAATTTGGTCCTGTTTCGAAATGAACGGCGGGAAATCGTCGGGGGCGGGTGAAAGGGGGGAGAGGGGGTGACACGGAGGAGGGGGGAGCTGGAAGGAAGGGGTGTTTTCTATTTTCCTGTTTGTCGGAATTTTTGTTTCTCGGGATTTTATTTTAAATTACCGGACTCGAAGTAGATCCCATTGTGTGACTTTATCCACTTCCTTACAAATATTGCGTTAATTTTTCGAGTTATTTTTTTTACGGAGCCTTGTTCGACAGTCGCCCGTTCAGCGTTTAGAGTGGATGCAAAAAGCAATTTTGGAAATTGATGTAATCGAGACGCTACTGCTGCGGTGGGGTCGCTAATTTGTTAACAAACATAGCAGCCGCATCTTTTAGCTCCTAGTCTCGCCATCGAGGATCCGCAGATTCCCATGGCACGGCACAACGCCATATCTAATTTAACAAGCCGGCATTGTATTATGCTGAATGTACTCGAAATGCCAAAATCACCCAGCTACTCGCGTTGTTGTAGACAGCAAAAATGCTGGCCTTTCTTGATTCCTATGATCGCCTATGCAGTTAGCCTTGATTTTTAAAATATCTCTGACGACAATATCTTGCTTTGGCCAATATCCAGATCAGCGTACAAGCTATTATATCCATGAAGCCAAGTTGGTCCCCGTAGCGTCACGAAACGACGGGTACGGTTCGCTAATTCGAGCGAATACCCGAATCAAAAGAATTGGCATAAAATGGTGTCTACGCACGGACACCTTGCGAGCTTGCCTTCACTGGTCTGCTACCAAAAAAATAAACGGTGTCTTTTTTTTTTAAATCATTTTCCCGAAACCGTAATCACATTCGTTTTTTTTCTGGCGTAAACGATTAAGTCCTACAGGCTCTTCAACTGACGTCATGCTAACTTATTTTTACAGGCTTAAGGACCTTACAAACTTCCAGTCAAACGACCTGATGATTCCATTTGGGGGGATCAGTTTACAACAGCATGGCGTCGAAGGTGCCGCTACTGGTGTTGTCTCTCGGGACGAGCGGTGCGTTGCTCCTTGTGGCGGCCAAGCTCAGTGACTCTGTGGCCGACACGCCGGCCGTGCCGCTCGCCTTCTTCGCACTGTTGCCGACGCTTATATCCGTCAGCGTCGTCACTGAAGGCCACGGATGGAGCTTTTTCGCGCAGTTATGGGAGACGTTGACCGCCTTGCTGGCCGTCGGCCGCCAGGCCCAAGAGCACAAGATAACGCCGGCCGAGGCACTGGCCGTCGCCCGGGCCGAACTCTTCAAGGCCTTTAGTGAACGCTGGCCACAACACGGCCAGGCATCGCTCACTCGGCCACGTCGACTGAGCAGCCAACGGCCCGAGGTCGTGTCGTCCAGTACAAGCGGCAGCTCGCTGTACGAGCAGGTCAAGGGTAGTCTGAAGGACCACATGTTCAGTCGTAGCGCGGCCGACGCGCCCGTGTACCTCATGGACCCGGCCACGGGGTATTTCCTGCGGGTTACGCAGCACCGTAAGCTCGTGTTCACGAGCAAGCCCAATACGTCATGTCTGTTCCATGTGGAGCGTGGCAAGACCCACCACTGGGGCTTTCGGGCCGTGGCCACACAACGATACATGGGCCAAAACATAGTACAAAAGATGGTGGCGACCAGCAAGAAATCACACGCATGGGAAGCCTTCCGTGTGCTGCAACGACCCGGCGACAAAGGGGCCGGAGCGTGCAGTCCACAAGTATATCTGATACTGTGTTCGGCCCGGTTCGGCAAGGGCATGTGGCTGGCCGACAAGCCCGGATCCACGAGTTTCGCCCACCCGTCCGTGCCGACCAGCAGAAGCAACAGCGCGAGCTTAGACGACGATGAGTCACACAGTGAACATGATCGTAGTGGCCACGGCCCATCTCGCCGACGTGGTGTCTTCTTGTCGAAACAATTCGATCATGCCATAGGCTTACTATACAGCTCAGACGTGTCGGCCTTGATGGCCGCAGCCGATAGCGCGTCTCAGTCGAGCGCGTCGTCGGCCCGTGCCTTGGCCCGAGCACAGACCGCTCCGCACTTAACCGGAGGCTTCCTACAAGCAAAGGGTACTGCGTTCCAGGCCCCCATACTCACGAGATGGGATATGGGCGACATGTATCTACCGTGGCTAGAAGCGGACGCCAACGCCACGTCGTTCCTGGAGATGAAGGAACAAGACATGACCGAGTTGATGACGGCCACTATACCCGGGTCAAGTGTAAGTGAATTCCTAGAGATGGTAACTCCGCGCTCTACACGTCTCAAGTGCAAGATGGAGCGAGCTAAACTAGCCACCTCTGCGCCTGTAGGATCAGCGTCAAGCTCTGCGTCGACTGGAGAAAAAGATAGCGACGATGTGCTTCGAGACTGGCATTCCCACCCTCGTTTCGGCCTCGTACGAGCGCTCAGTTATCATCCTGATGCAGCCACTATACCTACCATGGGGAGCAGTAGAGGAACGGGGAAGAACGTGACGCTAAACAGCATGAAAGCCGTCACTATCGAACAGTATCACTCGTGTACGATAGAGGACGATTCTCTCGAGGACGAGCTACAAGGTGACCAGAAATTGCCACATAGGGCTTCGCTTCGCTCCAAGATCTACACGCTCAGTATCCCATACAGCAACTGCTTCTCGATCGAAGTTATCGTGGACGTCGAGGACATTCCTGTCCGCGAAGATTCCGACATGAATACTGAAGACAAGTCATCTTCTTTTGACAAAAACAGTATGAAACTTACTGGACTGCATATCCGATGGCGAGCGGGTGTAACTTTCTCGCGAGATACAATTCTTAAGACGCAACTTGAACGTGGAGCATTGGAAGGCGTTCGGAGCACGTGTACGACTCTACTGAAGCTGCTGCGGGACGCGAATACGAGACACCAGTTCGGACGTCGTGGCTCGCTATTAAGTGCCGACACACCAAGTACCGCGACGACCGACACGTTGACCGCTAATGGCTTCGTCTCGTCCAGCAGAGGAAAGCCAGACTTGGCCTTCCTACCACGAACATTCGCGCTCGAAGTCATGAAAGGCCTCATTGCAGCAATTTCCGATGCGACCCCTCTTTCTGACAATCTCAGTACTCTGCCTATCCATCTCCCATGGCGATCTTTTAGTCGCGGCTCGTCCTCGTCTCGTGGGATTGTCCCCTCTCAGGCGATGGTGGCCGCCACGGTCGCTCCTTTCTTCGAGAGTATACCGGAAGAGTTCGCCCAAGTACTTGAAGAGAATATGGGCAGTAAGGTGACGGCGCCCTTGTTTTTCGAGGCCTTACTGTCCGATGCTTGCTCCTTTTTCCGCTCGGCACACACACAGAGTGGCAACATGGAAGTTGACATCAGTGCCTGGCGTGCTATTGTGGCGTCCGGACAGGCACGTGAACGTACCAATGGGTTCATACGTAAGCAGGTTTTCCGAATGCCGCTGAGTGGGATCCCGGGAGTCGACGTGGCCCAAGTGGAGGATTTCCAATACTACGCGCTTATTAAAGCTCGAAACCAAGATCCACCAGTATCTTCTTTGACAGATAGCGGACGAGGAGACAAACGCACGGATAGTTCTCGAGGAGAAAAAAGAGGTGGGTCGCATACGGGTCGGGACAAAAAGCGTCCGCCGTCGGGACTAAGTAAAGAGACCAAGACTCGTGACTTGAAGCCACGTACTAAACGTCGACGCTTGGAGTTTGGCATGAAGCTGTTTGTGCCTGCTCTGCCGGAAGGATCGCAGTTCTCGGTATGTTTTTTTTTAGTATTTCGAGCTAGAGTTTGTACGAGCTCTAACTGTTTTTTTTACGGTGTAGATTGAGGTGCTAGCGGTCGTGGAGCCAGCGGATGATGACTCGTCCGACAACGTCCTTCGCATCTTCTTTGCTTCACCTCCGCGTCATCGACACCCCGAGACACGTGGACATGCTGTGGTGAACCCACATGTTGTGGCCGGTGTCTTAAGGGGGTTGAAGCAGATCTGGAAGCAGGTGGCGCACACTATGATGGAAATCTGCGAGATCAACAGCGACTACGTTGTGCTTCCTACTCAACTTCAAGTGCCGTCTCTTGGTCTGGACGAACGGGAGCTTTACTTGCTGCAACAGTCGAGAGCTAATCCGAATTTGCCCACACATGACGAGCTTGCTTCGAGAGTCATAGAAGCGATTGCAGCGGTGTATTGATAACGGACATTGTCAGGAATTTACGGTATGTGAGGAAATAAAGTACGACTAAACAGATTCGCTTATGTGCTGTACTGTAGTTCTTGAGGGATTAGTTTTTTTAATCTTTATTTGAAGAATGCTCAAGTCGGATACGATATGGCATTGCCGATTGTGGGCCACAATTATTGTCCCGATAGACCGGCGTAGAGTGGCATTACCTGGAGTAGATGTTACCGAAGACATGGAGGAGGCCACTGATGTGATGGCTATACTCGAATTTACTTGACGGCGGAACGAATCTGAAAGCAGATTCGCAACGACTTCTACCCTGAGGAAGTATCACTGGTGCAATTCGGACTTACACGTGAGCAAGTCCTCCAGCGAGTTCACCGAGCGAGACGTGCTAACTTTGGTGCAGATTTGCATGGTATTGTGGAGGCTCCGCCGCTGTCACTGGTATCGGGGACCACACAGCCATTCTTTCAATTTTACAGGTCCTATATGAATGGAACAACACTAGAGCGCTTAGTCGGTTGGGCTCATCCTGATCTGATCAAGCTACTGAAGTACAAACAGACTACGTTGTTTCTCGACGGGACATTTAGGTGCGTCCCGCGCCCATTCTACCAGTGCGTGGTAGTGATGGTTTTTAATAATGCAACGGACCTATTCGTCCCTGTATTTTATGCATTGTGCACGTCAAAGACCCAAGCTACGCACTGGCATTTGATGGAGGCTGTCAATGTCGCTGCAGACGACAAAGTCGAGCCGAGCATGGTGGTCTGCGACTTTGAGGTTGGATTGCAAAAGGCAGCACAATTTCAATTTCCAGATGCAGATATCGTCGGCTGCTACTTTCATTTTAAGCAGGCCTGCCGAGGAAGATGAAGGCACTAAGCCTCCCTGAAAGTGAGGTCATCATTGCAATGAGTAAGGGCTGTCTGGATATGCTTACCGTCATTCCGCACGAGAAGATTAAAGACGAAGGCATCAAATTTGTGAAAGGCAAGATAAGAGACACGTGTGTGGCCAAGAGCATTCGGTATTCGGACGTGTTGTGGAAGCGGTTTTGGTCGTATTTTCGTACAACGTGGCTGAAGACATACACTCCTAGTGTTTGGAATGTTCATGAGGTGGATGATGCTATGGTAAGTCGTACTAATAACCCTTTAGAGCGTTTTAACCGCGAGATAAACGCGGAGCTAACAGCCCCACACCCTTCTCTACCTTCATTTGTTGCCATAATCCAAGCTCTGTCGAAAGGCTATGTCAACCGAATTGAGGATATGTCAAAGTCCCGAGAGAAGAAACGGCAACGTCGAGCTCCTGAATCACTAGATCTCCCTGTCCCTGTCGAACTTGGAGGAAGTGCAGACACCTTAACGACGAACGCGTAGATTACGTAGAGTACTAAAGATAATACAATTTTCTGTATATTTAGAAATGCATGTAGAAGGACTTGTACATGAGAACAATTTCGAGTCACTTCAGATTTGATCAACTTTCGTCAGGGTGAAGGGATTTGATCAACTTTCGACAGGGTCGAGGGATTTGATCAACTGACCATTTATGTGATGATTGAAATATGATCCAAATAAAAGTCTATGCTCCGATTTGTTAGCAATCGGAGCGTTGCAGAGCATGGTACCCATTGAGCCGCAAAAAAATGCACACTGTTGTCTTGCAGCTCACTGACTTACATGTATGTGAACAGCACTTTGAGCCGTGGTTTACTACACATCCAAATGTCTATTGCGAAAAATGGGTCGCGAAATTATAATTTGTTTCTTCAATATCGCTCCAGTGGGTAGGAGTGAGCACAGGCGACCTGATCCAATTGCATACTTTATTGGTTATTACCGCTACTTTGCAAGTGGGAGATATCTATGAGACAACGTCAAGCAAAATGATACTTACGAACCATTTAGAGTTATCGAGATATTCGAGCTTAAAGTCGGCCAACTTATTTTCGCACTTAGCCGAAACAGTTACAATTATAGTAAACTTCCGTCGAAAAAACTGTAAAACTACCCTTATTCAATTGCTTTTAACAAGAGCTTTAAAATAACACTTAAATCTCTAAAATTGGAAAAATATTGAGCTCACAACACTCCTAGACGTATCGTCATTTCGAGGGCCCATAAATGAAGATAATATTTTTGAGCGACCACAACTTCTTCAGTTTTAAGCATTCTGCAGCTTATAAGGGCTCAAAAGATAGAGGAGACGCCCCGCTTTCGTTTAGAGTGCTTAAATCGCGATTCGTACTTAGGTTCATAAGTATCATTTTGTTTTGGGCTGTCTCCTATAGTCTACGACTTGAAGATGTGTTATGAGAGGATTCCCTCCAAACACCCAAAATTTAGCAAAAACCTTTAGATATTCGAGGTGTAGTAAATCTCGGATTCATTTCGCAGTGCGTTTAGCTTTCTGCTATTTCTACATTATTAGATAATATACAATGTGAGAGATAATTGGGATCGCAGAAGTACTCGAAACGGACAAATTAAATTTTGATTTGCTGAAGTGGTGGGAGAAGTTGCCAAACATTGGTGAAAATGGTGAGCTACCGAAGACCCCCGCTTGGGCTTGTTGCGATATTTGTCCTAAAGATACCAGCTTCCAGTGCCACGCCGTAAAGTAATTGCTCCGGCGCTGGAAACGCGCTTGGCGCTAAGCGAGCAATACTGAGTCCATCGATTCTAAACGACATTCTTGTAGCTCAGTCTAGTTCAGACCTACGGGGACGTATGCCCACGAAACATATTGACTCCAATATCTTGGCGATTTTAGGCCTGTGATGCATGTACTTAACTACATTTCTCACGAGCTATGCTTCAGCTGTGTTAAACCTTTGCCATCGTCTGACCTCCACTGTAAGCCAGAGGCCGCAAAGACAAAATCGCGGTTGGCCAAACCCATCCGTAAGCCCCTATGACGAGGTATCGGACGACAATGACCAACCGAATAAATCATTCGGACAACTATGTCTGGCCGAAAATTGCTCTCGGCTAGCTGAAAAATACATTTTTTATAGTACCTCTGAACATCACTATCCTAAGCAAGTACTTGATTATATTTACATATTTACGCAATTTTAAAACTCGTCTTTCGAAGCCGTCTTTTTAAGACTTGAAAACATTAATTACAGATTCATTTCGGAGCTGTCTTTCTAGATTTTATAACAGTAATTTATAGATTTTTCAGAATACCACGTTGAGGGCAAAGTATGAGACCAAAATTCAAATTTGTGACGGTCCAATTCAAACATTTCATCCAGTTTTTTAGTTTTTGCCGAAAACTCCTGGGTAACAGCCAAAATGGAAACCAGAATGGAGGGGGGGGTTATGAGCCGTGATAGCTCACTGATCTTCATTTTTTTTCTCCGTTACACAAATCTGACCCTAGAATGCTAACCCGATTCGGGTAAACGCCATCGAGCTCTCGCGGTTAAGCATCAGAGCTTCTGCTAACACCGAGGTACTTGCAAAGGATTTAAGAAAAATATTCTTTTCATCCGTACCGATTTGTAAGCAGCTTTATGGGGCATCTTGTTTTGGCATGCTTGAGCTCAAATTTAGTTGCATGGACCATCAGACTTCTTGGCGATACCCTTGAAAGGATTGTGGCAGGCAGCGACCCCCAATTCGCACGAATTACGGTAGGTGACGCCATCCGTTCCACAAACGGGTTTGTCATCACTGGGGCAAGCGGGGGCGCAGGTGACGATGAGACTCCCGACACTTCCAGAGCCCGACACGCTGCCACTACTGGATGGGTCCAAGCGATCCTTGTAGCCCGGTTCCCCGGGAAATATCTCAGGGCCAATCCCCATGAATAAAGCGGGATTGGCCGTGGAGATCGAAGTAACGGGGCCTGGTAGCTGGTTCTGAAGGTTCACTTTAGTCAGAGTAGCGGGGTCGACTGTGATGTAATCTGCTGCTTCGGACGTGCCAAAATTACGGCTAGAGCCAGAAGTGCTGCATTGGTGAACACCATGGGCTGTCGTGAAACGGTATGCGCTCCTTGTACATGTACGTAGCAAGTTGACGAATGCCATGGGGCGATTGTTTTTAGGACTGCATGTCCTTGAATTCCTATCCTGTCCACAGACTATACAAGATTTCATTTTGGAAAGAAATGATTAGGAGCACGTGGACTCAGATGTTACAGCAAAAGATGCCAGTCCGGCTGGAACAGGTTTGGTGGCTGGGTGTGGCTATTATAGTCACGTGCTCCGTGATGTCAAGCCTCCCACGAGCAAAATGGATACAGCCACCAGAAACGAGGTTAAAAGATTCTCGCAAAATTGGGGAGCACGGTTTTTGAGGTTTTATTCTTCCTTCCACATAAGTACGATGGCTAAGAGCAAAACTCCAATGCACGAGGAATTTATTCTTTTTCAAGAGCCGGCTCAAAGCTGTGCTCCTTCAGTAGCGTTCCTTACTGGTGGAAATTCGCGATGTTCTTTCGTAAATCACGGCGATCTTCCTGCATATCTTTTCCAGTCATCGTGAAGCACGCGGCGGCGGCCTGGGCTACCAGACGCGGATAACACATCTACACAGTGGACCAAGCACTTCCGTACAAAGTATTCGCCCCCTTGCTCTGACGTAATGACTACAACGTTGGACCCGCCAGCAGCGGTGAAGCGTGCCGTCGAGAGTTGGGCCGATATCGGTCCTTTCAAGAGAAAGCCCATACAGCCCGGAGAGAGCTCCTTCATATTCGATTGGGGCGTCCGTGTTGAATACACCGAAGGAGCCAAAACGAAGGCTGGCTATATTTGCCTGGCAGATGAGTATTGCCGACGCACTGATACCGCCGACAACTTGTTGCTGCTGTCGCATGGAAAGACGTCCGCCGCCGTGAAACACCTGCGACTAGTTCATCACTTGGAGTCTCCAAAAACAAAGAAGGCGATGACAACAAAACGAAAGCGGGAAGAAGAGATTGAGCACTTACGCTCGTCTGTTTTGTACTCTCGCAATCCTGCCCGTTTAAATCTTCTCCTCGAGACGTTGCGCATTGTTAACCACAATCTACCGCTCCGGATAGGCGAGT